CACACACACACACACACACACACACACACACACACACACACACACACACACATATATATATATATATATATATATGCAATGCTGAATTGGAAAGTGATTAAAGACATTTCCAAAGATAAACACAACAAACTACATACATAAAACCAGATAGAAAGTGCCAACTGAAATCTGTTGTCCATAAGCAACAGTGACAATCCTTACAGATCCAAAGCTTGGTGGAACACTAACCCTTCCTAAATACCTACAAAGAGGGCACTAAATGAACCATACATATAGACATTTTAAAACCATTTTTACATGACAAACAAATTTCAGCCCAATTTTCAATGGATTGCAGATCGATACTAGCCTAGAGACCAGGGGTTGGGGACCCCTGGGGTAGAATTTTACTTTACTTTAAATTGTATTTGGAAATCTGTTGGCATTAGTTGAAAAATTAATGTTACATAGCTGTAAATTGTTTTGGCTGCCAGAAAGTGGGCTACTGCAATTTGCACCAAATAAAGTTTCTGTTTTTAAAACTGAATCTTGAAAAACATCCATCTATAACATACATTGCGATCTATTCTTAAAGTAGTTAAAGGGTTAAAAATGAGTGTACACACAAATATTTTGATTAAAGCTTCTCCTCACTGTCTACTGATATGCCAGAACTAATAATAAGTTCAGGAATCCTCCGCTTCATAAGATAACACCTAGGCATTTGAATATACAGTGGTGTGGGGCCCAAACAGCATATCAGGCTACATACACTAGTTTCTAGCTTAACCCAGGATAGAATTTTATTTCTGCATATCATTGGTCTCTAGATAGCAAAGTTATAATTACAGCATCCTAAATTGCCCCGAAGTGAAAATTAAATCTATGATATGATTACCTACAGTATATGAGTCAATATATGAGTCATATGAGCCGCTATTACCTGGGACAGATCTATCCTTCCTAAGGTATAAATATTGAAGTTCCTCAGCACAAAAAAACAGAAACATTACAATAAAAATTGAACAATAATTCTTGAAGCTCACAAAGCTACCCCATCTATAGTATAGCAAAACTGATAGCAGATCAACAAGAATTCCAACTCTGTAAAGCCTAGCTTCAAATACAGGAAGCCTGTCATCTGTAGCTTATGTTTCCTGATTACCGCCATAGTGTCCATGAGTATCATTACTGCCCTTACTTCCCTATCCTGTGGAATCATGGCTCAGAAGAACTCAAAACCTAGGAGAGCATATTTCATACAGAATGATAATTTTAGTTTTCCTTACAAAGTTTCACCACAGGACCATTTGTTCATCCAGAACTAAGTTGTGGAAGTTCCTTTCATAAATAGACGTGGAATAACCATTGGCAGTCTGAGTTCAAGGCAATCCAGCTCCCTGACTCTTGTCCAAGAAAAGGAAACTGGCACAAATTCCTGGGTTTTTTGCTCTTCAAATAACCAATTGCTGCCCCTTCCTTTTGGAAGCTAGACACTCATTGGATAGGAATGGGAATTTAAGAAATGTACCACCACATAAGTTCTTGTTTTCCAGTGATTCCTACATGGCTCCATTACTTCTAGCACATTATCCAAGTATGTTATTAATAAAAATTAAAATGTCAAAATGTATGTGCAGCATATGCTGTCTTATAAAGTATTTTCTTTGAAGATAAGAGAATTGGATCTACTTCTACTTCTTCATATTTTCATACTTTTGCTGCTTTCTTCTTTACTTTGCAATAAAACTACATTGTACTAAACAGCCTGCAAATCTCCAGGAAGATTTTCCAGTGCGGGGTCTCTGAACTGTAAAATAATTTCAAAAACAAAAGCAATCTTTATAAAGAGTTTTCTTGCAATGAAGCCGGGCCCTGAATTACAGATAGTGCTCGACTTTCAACCACAATTGGGCCCAAATGTTTATTGCTAAATAAGGCAGTGGTTAAGTAGTTTTGCACCATTTTAGGACCTTTTTTGCCAGAGTTGTTAAGCAAATCACTGCAATTGTTAAATGAATCATGCGGTCATTAAGTGAATCTGGCTTTTTCCATTGATTTTGCTTATCAGAAGCTTATCTGGTAGGGTTACAAATGGTGATCACTTGACCCTGGGATGGTGCAACCATCATGAATCCCAGAACAAGTGGATGAGGCTAGATTTTGAATGGCAAATCAATGATTCAAGGATATCCAGAAGTAGCAGGATAAGTTAAGATCTGTGTATAAAGTTCCACTAAACAAACCAGTATAAAAACAAACATTATCCATCCATTTTAATTCTAGGTGATGCTGAAAACTATGTTGCATATGAGATTCCCCCCCCCCCACACCATATTGAAAATCATACAGTACCTTTATCTTTTATTTCCAGTTCATAACATTTCAGATTTATTTTACTCATTTGATGTGAGTTATTTCATTTTGAATTACAAATGCAATGTAATGTGGCAAATAATACCAGTGGGAAGTTTTGGATACTTGTTTTTTCCTTTTAAAGAATAGCCCTAACATGTGATTTTAAAAAGAATGATGGTCAAGCCCCAAAATAGAATTATGTAGTATAGATTTGTAATCCTGCATGGCCATTTTGATGTTGGAATACCAAAGTATTGCTTTTCTCTCCTATTAAATGGTCTTTTATTTGTTCCTAACTTCCCCTGTTTAACAGCAGACAAACCCAGGGAGCACTGAATGAATCGGATGATCCCGAGACAGGCTGTCTAACTGATAACAAGCCAACTTCTCGTCACTTCTATCCTGTCGCCTTGCTGCTTGTCAGCTCACACTTACTGGTTGTGTGGCTTATTTTAAGTCTTGCTTTACTATTAGCAAAATATCAGTAAAGTTCACTTCTGTTTGTTGCTTTTTTTAAGGAACAAAAACACTTTAAAATTACCCATTGTACTATATTGTACATTCTTGAACCCTCAGACTAGTTCTTAAGAAGCCAATGTCTTGAACTGCATACGTTCTCCTTTTCGTCCCAGAAATTAAGAAAGCATACTGTGCTCAACTGATTTAATCCACCGTCTAGCTAGCAAACCTTTTCACGTTTCATTAGTTCCAAGACAGCCAATGTACATTAGGGTTTCTTGATCAGATGTGACCTAGTCATGAAATGTGATTCACCCCCTTCTAATCAAATTCCAATTTAGGGGATTGTCAGCACTTTATTTTAATTCAGGACAGATTTGCAGGAATAGTTATTTTTCCCAGCATAATATTTGTACTCAGGTGTGAAAATTGCCAAATTCTACTTTACTAGATAGAATCATTCCCTTTAACAGTGCTATCTTTGCAGTTTTCATGCCAGGAGCCACATAAAATGATTCCTTGTATGAAAATGTAATGATTAATGCGTGATTATATATATTTTTCTGTGGCGATTAGTCAAAACATGTAAGAAGATAGAGAAAAGTATTTACACATTGACATTTAAAACTAAGTTAAGTGTTCTGGGTAAGGTCAAAAGATTAATTTTCAGTGTGCTGTTTTCATTATTTCTTACCAGTAGAGTCTTTCTGTTTTAACAAATAATTTTAGTATTCCATTTAATTATTTGTTGCATAACTAACTCTTTTTTGTGAAGCCATCTATGGCATATAATAACTTATGTTGTGTAACATAATTAACCTGTTTGTAATTTTTGCTTTTGATGCCTTTTCTTTACAAAATCCGTCTATATTATTTTAAACAAGTTTTCTTTGCATTTTGTTGGCTCTTGTGAATTTTGTACTTTGTATGAATCAGCATCCTTTCTTTGTACAACAGAAAGTTGATTTGGGCTTCATGAAAGCCATTTTTATTTTCTTTCATCATAAACTTAAAAATGAGACAAAGGTGGACCTTTTCTTTGCAAATTTATAGGGCCAGATTTCATTAAAAATGCCTTATTCATGGAAACTGCACACTTATGGTTACATGTAAACTTTAACATGTATGAATGAGCAAAAGAAAACCAATCTGAAAAAAGTAAGATAATTTTTAAAATAAATATATTTCTAATGCTAGAGTAAAATATATCATAAAATATAACATCTAATCAAGCCACAGTGAGAATAAATATATATAACCTAATTTTGAGGGCAATAACTGTATTGGCCTGGCCTTGGATCTAATTCTGTAAGATGTATCATCACTTGTGGAAATATATTGTAGATTTATCTTTGTTATTTTTACTTCAATTGTTGCTAAAACTCTGCAATGTACAAAATAAAACATATTTATTTATGACTTGTTTCACGAAGTTGTCTTTTTCCCCCCCTCTGCACTAGACAAGGATGCCGCATAGAAAATGTCCTGAAGAATATCAAATGCAGAAAGTATGCTTTCAACATGATTCAGCTGATGGCTTTCCCCAAGTACTACCGGCCACCAGAGGGAACATATGGAAAAGCTGACACCTAACCTCTTAGACAAAAATGCCCTTTTGAAATTTTGCAGGATTACACAGCTCCACTCATTAGTCAACGCACATATGTTTTGTGTGTTTTACAGATTGGGAGAATGCCTTTAAGCAGACATACCTAGGATTTGTTTTACCAAACTGTACCATCACTCAAAAGAAATTTCAGTATATAATGGTAGATTGAACATCCAGGCATTGAGTTGTCTGTTCAATAAATACAGAATTTCCATAAAATACGATGTATATCATAGGCTCACTAGAGTTAAAGGTTTGATCTACTGTCCAATAGAAAGGTAAATCATAACTCTGGACTTTAAATCTAGCTCTTGATATTGCTTGCTGGAAGTAAGAGCAATGTCAAGTTGCTACTTTGGTGTTATATATAAAATTCATAATAGAATTTGAAGAAAAGATTTTTATTACTTTGTCTTATTAAATATGTGGAGGTATCACATTTTCTGGGTTATTTTTGCAGTTCCATCTATATTTACTTCCAGCTTTTTCTTTTAAGTTCATTCATGTTGGTGGCATGTTGCAACCACCCTGTAAGCAGAACTAGTGTTTCTTAACTAAAAGAACATTAAAGACAGTCTATAAGAAGATACTAGAAACTTATTATTTGAAAATACTGAAAGCAAGAAGGGAAATACTGTAAAGAGCCTTTATTGGTAGCTTAAAAGAATGTTTACATTTGAATAAAAGTTATAGGATTTAAAACTGTTGGAACTGTTAGAATTAAATATTGATCAGAATGAAGAGTTGATTAGTTGACATTTTGGTTAATCTATTATCATCCATGGAAGATTAAACTTTATTTTTACATGCTAAAAGGTAAGATTTATTTAGAAATTAATTTGTGAATGTTAATACAGAATTGGAAAAAGTGCCTTTTGTGTAAAATACAAGGTTAGTGTATTAGACTCATAGTTGCTACAATGTAAGCTATCATTTATACAAATGGTGCTCTTTAAGAAATTTAGACTGATGTCATGTTTATTATGAAACAGTGACATCTGGCAAATAAAAATTTGGCCAGGATGTTGAAATATATCCAATTCAAACATTTAGAATGACTTTGTCCAGCCAAAACTTCTATTATCTACAGGCAGCACGATGATACTTCTTGGGGTTGTCCAACTGTTTTACAAAATGAAAGTAACTAATTTTTTGCAGAAATAATAACCCGGAAATTGAATCAAACATTGTGAAGTATCAAACTCCAAGTTGATTTTCTTCTTTTTCATCTCTTTTTAACCACAGAGGTCAGCTCTCTGTTATAATATGTCAGAACAATATATTTTAAAATTATATTTAAAAATGCTCTAGGGGATTGTAAATCCATTCCTTTGTAAGAAGCTTACATGATCCTTTAGGAATCAAAATTGTTTTGAGGTACAAGACATTGGCTTCTCATTCTTTATAGTGCCAAAAGTATAGTGTTAAAATGCTATCAGGCACCCCATTTTAATAATACTGAATGATCAGTGAAGTAAATTTCCTATTCTTTGCTTGCTTTACATGGGAATGAATAATTGAGTGCATAGTCAGTTTTTTATTAAAGTAGCACATTCCTGAAACACAGATCCTGCAGCAAAATATCAAAGCATGTATAAAGAGCTAGCTACACATGAAACTTGAATACGAGATATCATCAAACATTTGCATATAATGTAATGATTTTGGAAGGACCTGTACATGAAAAAATTGCATTATATATCCATTAGGATTGAAATAATATAGCAACATATTCTAATAACGAAGTGCATTTCTTGCTCAAATGAACAATATGGGGATACTTTTCATAAAATGAACAGCAAGTAATACCATCTTCCAAGTACTCTTTCTATACATGTTGACTGAAGTGAGGAAAGGCTATTCAGGATTGCTACTATTTAATTACTTCTGCTGGGCAGGTCCTGAAGAATTATCCACTGATAATTCTTTTCTCCACTTCAGTTTTATAGTCCTTACACTACAACTAAACACCCCAACAGTTTTTCTTAAGATCATTATATACAACTCATTTTCAAGCTGTTGCTACTATGTGATTTTTAACTTGTAGAAAGATGAAATATTTTAAGAATTTATTCTCATCCCAGGTTGTATGGCAGATGAGAAAGAATTCTATGATAGCCAGGATAAGCTGATATACAAAACTATCAATATAATGCAGTTTAAATTATAGTCCCATGAAAAATGTTAACTGAACGAGCATATATACCTGGTATGTTTAATAGACAGAGACAGAGAGTGTGTGTATTTGTCCAAATACTCAGAGATGAATGCAGAACAGATATAAAAAAAGTGAAGATGGTGGCCATGACTAAAACTTTCCCCTTTGTATGTGTATACGCAAAAGAAAAAGGGCATCAGTTGTTTGATTGCAGCTGCCATCTTGATCTTGATCTTTTACCCACCTCTGCAAACATCCCTGAAAATAATCTATATTTTAATAATTTTAAATGGTAGTACAACACACTAGTATAGGCTCATTGTTTTATAGCATTACATTGTTTAGAAGAATCTTTTTCCTCTCTTTACTTTGTGGCATTTTCTTTCTTGTTTCTGGAACCGTATGAGGTACCATTCATTTTCTGATATCAAATTCCAAAAAAAACCATAATAGGTCTTTTTTGTGAGCAATCATTGATCATGTAAAAATTTTAAAAGGCAGGTAATTATGATCATTGAAAAAATATTGCAAATAAAATACAGGGTCTGATGTATGGTTCAGTGTCATAGGAAAATGTTTGTTTATAATTGTAATCCACCTAAATTCCAAGTCCCTACAGGTACAATCATATTTGTACATACTGCATCTAACTGTTTTTGAAAGTGGATTTTCAAAAACAGTTTGTGATATCAGATAGCAAGAGAAGTATGTGAGAAATAGAGAAATGTTTCCTCAGAGCAAAAATTTAAACAAAGTTTATTAGCACATTAATAACCTTCACGCATGATCAGAAACTTTACTTGACTGTGGCTTAGTATACAGTTTCAAAATTATTACTATTACATATGTGCTGTTCACATGAAGAAATGTGAAGAAGCAATGATTAATTTTGCCATTAAAACATCATTATGAAGAAGTAAATGGAAACATTTAATTAAATTGTGAAACAACCTGGGTGTATTTTTGGAAGCCTGCTTGATTTTTATTAAATTGGGCCATGGTTTATAAATATTTTGCTTTTATGCATGTTATCTGTTTTTTTTAAATCATTTTGCCTATTATTTTAGAAACTGTAAGAATTCATATGTGTAAGCCATATCCATTGTACATTATGCGTGCATGTATTTTTATTTAAATAAAACTCATATTTTCATATTATTGCCTGAGTTTGAATTGTTTCCACTGCCATAAAACAGGCACCACAATGTAAGTGATTAAGAAGAAATGTGACAATTAAAGCAATATACATGTATATAATTTATTGACCTTATTGAAGTAATTTAGATAACCAACCATATAACAACAGTGACACTGGATGGCATACAGTGATTAAAACCAACAATAAATCACAGCACCCAAGGTAAACAATACATCCTAATCATGAAACCATAACACCAGAACTTGCCTAACCTTTTGGCCAAAATACATGCAGCAAGCTTATAAAAAGTTAACAAGGTCATTGCCATTCAGATTTCTGATGGGATGCTATTCCATAAGGCAGGCGCTGTCACAGAGAATACATGGCTCCTGAGTCCAATAAGATGGCACTGTTTAATAAAGGGGACCTAGAACATGTTGTTGCTTCTACATCTGGTGATGTGAGCAGAAATAATGGCACCAAAAAGTGTGGCCTTAGGGGTTTTTATAGATGTCAACCAGCAGCACCTTAAATTGCTCCCAGAACTTCTTAGGAGCCACTGCAGCTCAAAGAGCAATGATATTATGTAGGCATAGTGAGAGATGCCCAACAATTCCTACACCACTCCATTCTGAACCAAATGCAGCTTCCAAATGCTCTTCAAGAACAGCCCCGTGTTGTAGAGTGTAGTACAGTAATCCAAATAGAAGGTGATTGCATGAATCATTCAGAAATGGGCACAGCTGCTGCATAACCTGAACCTGAGCAAATGCCGCCTCCGGATTGTAGCCAATGGAAGAGAACTCTTGAGTAAGAGTATAGCAATAATAATAGGTATGTATTGTTGTTGTTGTTGTTTTTTGCTGTTTCAGCATTTCTCCATGATAATGGTATCCCAGCAGACCAATATGTTTCATTGTACACTACCCAGAGTCACTCAATGAGTGAGCTTGATGGTTTATAAATTATGTATGTATATTGTGTGTGTGTGTGTGTGNGTGCTTGGACACTCCGCAGCGCCGAGAGAACGACCATTCAGGTAAGCCAATGGTCTGTTTCTGAGCCAACATTTTGGTTGCTAAGCAAGAGTGCTGTTAAATGAGTTTCACCACATTTTACAAGTTGGCCACTGCCACCAGGTCACATGGTCAGCAAGCCACTCTCACCCAGTCACATGGCTGGCAAGCCATTCCCACAAAGCAGGCCACACCTACAGAAGAGGTTCTAAAAAAATTTGAAACCCACCACTGATACACACACACACACACACACTAATTGCTCCTGTTATATTTGAGGAAAATCAAAGCATCCATTTCACATTTATCCTAAATCTCTTCCCTATCACCATGTATACATTTTAGAATATGTGTTGTATGAGCAACAGTGGATATCTTCCAGCCTTTTGCCAGGAAATGGTTCAATGGCTTATGGAACTGCAGTCTATAATTGCCATGAACTTGGGCTTCAGGATTACAAGGCCAATTATGACTAAGGCATTAAAAGGGAAGCTTTTCTAGCTTAATAGCATGTTCAAGCAAAATTATCCTAAATTGTCCTAAACTGCTAGAAGTAACAAGTACATCACAGATCAATATGGGGCAGAGAAAAGCCATCTAATAAGTGATCAAGTTGTTCTTGCTATTATTATGAAATAGGTTTAGACACAAATGGGGTGCTTACAATCCCATACAAGGTGCTTCAGGGGTGTCAAACATGATTTCATTGACGGCTGCATTATGTTTGACCTTGGGGGGGGCAAGGGGGCATGGCCAGCTCGATGTCACTCCTTTGGGGACGCTCAGCTTTCAATGACAGGGGGTTGCCGGAGGCTGTGGCAGCTGAAAATGGAGATTGGGAGCCCATTTTTGCTGGTAGAAGCACTGCGGACACCCCTGAAGTGCTTTATATATGGTTAACTTTGCTCGTTAGATTGCTAAGGCCAAGACCATATTTACATAATCTCCAATCATAAACCTCTAATGGGAGATGGTAGGGAGTGGCTGAAGGATTTCTTCTATACATAATAGGAACCCCAACTGCTGAACTACAAGCAAGTGTAGCAAGTTTGATTCAGTAGCATTTAGCCTCTTCAGCATGTTTTAATGCAGTTTTACTGAGCCTTCAAAGATGGCTAACACATCAGATCAACCTTTCTGGTATTCTGCCCTGCAGATATATTGCAATGGTTTGCTACGTCTGGAAGACACTAGGTTGGGAAGTAGCATGACCGTTTTATTTTCCCAACATCAGTTGAGTTAGCTATTTTATAGTTCTCCTTTAGTTAGAAGCTTTAATCTTCATTCCCTGAACACTGGTCTACAGAGTTAACAAAGCTTGATGAAATATTTGAAATGTTCAACACCATTACTCCAATTCCTTCACATTCACTGAACACACGCCTCTGGTGAATATGTAGCTGACAAATCAAATGTAAAAGCTGCACTCAGCTATCAATATTTAATATGTGGCTCAGTTCATGCCCTTCTAGTTCCCTCACTGATATAAGCTGCAGTAAATTAATATACTGATATAATTTAGAAGCAGAATAAAAGTAAGGGTATTAGGGTATTAGACTCATCAATTCTTCCCAAACCTGTCTTTGGCTAGGTGTTCTATTTTAGTACAATCATGTCTAAAGGTTTTATTATAACTTGTCTTTGGTATTGACTGATTTAAAAAAAAACTTGTGCAATGGAGAAATCATTAAAAGTTAAATCAGATACCACTTTCGTTTTTATATCCCTTAGGGTAAGAGATGGTATTCTACCGGTTTGGACCAGTTTGCCTGAACCGGTAGTGGAAATCGTGCATGGCCCCACCCACTGGCCCTGGCTCTACAGCATCCCATTTAGGCCCTTTTTCCGCCAAAAGGGCATGCGCAGAAGGCTGTGTGCATACACTGAGGTGATTGGTGCGAGCGAAGTTAGCATGCGAGTGTGCTCACATTTGCAAATCGGTAGGGAAGGTAAATGAATACTACCCCTGCTTAGGGTTAAGATTGCTATGGTAGTCCATTTGCCTTCAAAGTTGGTAACTGGTAGAATCAGTAATGCATCTCTCCTATATATTTTTTTCTCAATACTACTTTTGATGGTTAAAGTGCTTTATGCACTTTATTCTCAGGATTTCATATATCCTATGCAGATAGAGTATCTATACCTGTTCAAAGCTCTGAATAGGATCTTAAAAATACTCCCAAACTTTCAGCCAAATCCACTTCACAAGTTATGAGCAACAATAGGATGAAGTGAGGTGGGGATAGGAAGCATGTACAAGTAGTCCTCAACTTAAAATCGCAATTGGGAATAGAAAATTCATTGTTAAGCAGTGTGATTGTTATGCAAGGATCCCAATTTTAAAACCTTCCCTGTTGGCTTTACTTGTCGTAAGCTGGTTGGATATGTCACAAATTGTGATCATGTGACCTCAAGTAGTTGTAAATGTAAGCAGTTGTCCATCATGTGATATGTGGATGATGTTATGGTTGTAAATCTATGTATGTCACTTTTTTGGGTGCCATTGTAACTTCAAACTAAATGAATTGCTAAATGAATGGTCAAGGACTATATCTACACAGCTTTGGAATACACATACTGTAGAATTTAAAAATACAAATTTGGCAAATAAATGGAATAAATAAATGTGCATGTGTTGTAAACATAGCCTCCTTTTTAAACATTCACAATAGCAGTAGCAATAGCAGTTAGACTTATATACCGCTTCATAGGGCTTTCAGCCCTCTCTAAGCGGTTTACAGAGTCAGCATATTGCCCCCAACAANTTCTCCATGATAATGGTATCCCAGCAGACCAATATGTTTCATTGTACACTACCCAGAGTCACTCAATGAGTGAGCTTGATGGTTTATAAATTATGTATGTATATTGTGTGTGTGTGTGTGTGTGTGAGAGAGAGAGAGAGAGAGAGAGAGACTGTTACCATAATTATGAATTTAGACATTTAGGAAACCACAAACTGCAGTCTTCAAAATAAAGTTTAGAAGTCATGCTTGCAAATTATAAACTATGGCCATGGTAGTGGGCATATTTTTGGAGATTATCTGTTTATATATTTAGAAGATCTATATGGTTTTTCACCTAGGCTATAGTGAGAAACAATGAGACCCTTCCCTTCATTCCGTCAGTTCTGTCATACTTGCCATCTTTTTTTATCTTTTATTGATCTTACTGTGATTTCTTTGTTAGATCTTTGTGAATCAGTGACATTGAGAGTAAGGTGGCATACAAGTTTAATCAATTATTAATCAACATTGAAGCTTATAAACACAGAGCTCAGTGTTTTATGTGTATTTCTTAGCGGTTCTTAATGCGATGAGAAAAGAAAAATCTTTAAAAACGGTTGAGTTCTTGTCAATCTTTTTCCTCTTGGAGCTTTTCTTATTCTTCTTACACAAACAATTTGTAAACATATACAAACATAATTCACTGACAAGACAAACAAAGCTAAAACAGATGCCCTACCCAGATCCAAATTCTGCAGCAGAAGCTGACCTTTCATAAGATGAGATATTGTAATTACTAGTTACAGTGAAATACAGGCTTGTTCTAAAAGCATTCTGATTACAGTTCAAAAACAAGTATCAGCTTTTTTAAAATAGATGACTGGTTTTTGGTCGCCATATTCATCTGAATCAATGGGAATTATCTGCAGGATCAGACTTGAACATCAACATTCTGGCATTTAAGGGGTTATGTACAATGCAGGCATGATAAAATGATTTATAACAAGGGAGGCAAGAGGGCAAGTGATAAAACACACACCACAATATTGGGATGCAAACACTGATCTCTTATCTGCTGAATAGCATTGCTTCAAAAGAAAAGCTTATTCCCACAGATCTTATGCACCCGGTACCCAGGCTACTAATGTGTTGATATGTATCTCTTGAGATTGCCGTATAAATGTTGTCACTTAGGGCTTCTTCTATAGCTGAAAGCTGTAACTATCTATATGTCTAAGATATAGATATAGATATATAGATATAGATATATTATAT